GGTTTAATCTGCTGAGCGATTGTATCATATCATTGCATTTGATATTGTTATCCTGTTATTCAGTTTATCTTTTTCCAGGGCTTATTGCTAGTTTAATAAAGCCCATCCAAAAGTATAAACGGTGTATTGGTGTTACTTGGGTCCAGGTGAGGGTGAGTCATCACTGGTGTGGGACAGAAGGCCCGTATATTACAGCGGCCCTTGCGGGGGTAGCGCTACACTTACATAACTGGAATTTAAATAACAACTTAACAACTGACTCCCTTAAAATATCAAATAAATCATGATTTCTTATTGAAACAACAGCTGATGTGACAATTTAAGGACATAAATTTCACCTGCAAATTACCTTCCCTGTGTGACTTTTGGGGGACAACGGCTTCTAGGCACTGAAACTACTCCCCAGGAGTTCAGCCACATTCGACAACACAAGGTCATGATAGTCTATTTTTCAAGGTGAGTTCTAAGTTCTGTGTTTTATGTGCAACCACAACCCTTATTTGGAGTTGTGTGCAGTGAAACAAAAAAAAACAACAACCTGTTTTTGACTCATATGATAAAACAGATTGTAAGATACAGGGTATTGCAGTTAAAGTGTATGTAAATCATAACAATTAACTTTTCTTACTTGCTCCATTTTGGTCAGTTCTCTTGGATTCTCAAATTTTCTCTATTGTATTTTGAACATAAATCATTGCAGAACTTCTCTTAGCTGGCATCACTCCTCTTAGTCAGCAGACATCTGGAGATTTGAGCCTAGCAACCCAGAGTTCCAGTAATTACTCCGATAACGCAGCAACCAGGAGTTGTTTTAAGACTGTAAATAAGTGACAGTTAGCCCTCCTAGTACTGCAACTAATTATAAACTTTGATACTGCAGATGTGAGATTTGATGGCAGTTTGCCAGTGGCTGAATTTGCCTGGTTCACATTCATAACTGTGTATATAAGGGGAATGTGTCTATGGATTACATACTGTATAATGTTAATACTGTATGCAGTACATCTTTGCAATACATGCACAATTCCCTTTAAGAACCCTGCAAGTACAGTAAAATACCTGTTGATCTGCCAGAAATGCCTGTTGATTTGACAACACACAGCATTTTGTTGGTTGTGCCAGGCCTGTCCAGATTTCTTTTGCTCAACTACTCAGACCCACCCAATCTCATCATCCTCACAAAATAGTCACTCATTGTTCTGTAGTACAAAGTAATCTCTTTAAGATAACACAGGAAGTGTGCACACGATGCAGGACAGTTCTACATTTCTGAATGATCAACAGGTATTTTCTTGCACTAATTGAACAGATGTAACAAAGCACTTTTAATGATATAGTTAACAGTCCAAAAGGGAGCAAATAAAAGAAGTTCATTTTTATCTTTATATATACTTTAAGTGATGCCCTTTTTTGGTATTGATCATGCAACCATTAGCAGCTGCTTATAATTTAACCACAGACAAATACAAATGTGGACTGCAAGCATTACTTATTAACTGCTAACAGTAATCAAGCAATAAACTATGCAGATCTGCTTCCTATAAAATAACACTACAGGCTGATTTACCAATGGAGTTGGGAATCTTCAAATTGTTTAATTATTCACTTTAATTATTCAAGCATTTTGAAATGAAATACGTTAACAGGAATTTGATTTTAACATAGTAGGATATTTAAAGTGAATATTTACACAATTTATTGTTTGAAGATTCTCAGCTCCTATAGTAAATAAGTTTCTAAGGGGTCTATTCACAAAACTGCCAAAGGATCTAGCCATAGCTTTGGCTGATCCTTCGGCTGGCTTCGGCCCCAGGACCCCTTCGAAGGGCTGCTGTACAGGCTATTCACTATAGCCCGTACAGCTCCCGAAGTTGGCCAAGTGGCTCAGTCGAGTCGAAGGCATGTGCCTGGGCTCGACTGAGCCTAGGTGAAAGCAGAAGCTGGCCGGCCGACAGCCTGTTACTGCAGCTGGGCGGAGCCAGCCGTAATCTCACGGCTGGCTCCGGCCACTTGCAGAGACAGATCAGCGTCCCCGGTTACCAGGTAACCAGGGACGCTGATCTGTCAGACATCCCAACTCTCCCGGACGCTCCGGGAGTCTCCCGCTATTAGATAGCGGCTCCCGGCCGCCCGGGAGAGAAACGCTTTCTCCCGGAAAGGTTTACTCTGCTCGATCGAGTGAACATTTACCTGCTCTGTTGTTTTTTTTTTTCTTCTGACATCGTAGCCGCCGGCCGACGTCAATCAGAAAAAAATAAACAGCATAGGAATGCATAGCTACATTCCTATTGGCTATTTTCCTTTGCAATAGCCAGTTGCAAACTAGCTATTGCACCCACCCTCTGCTGCTGTCAATCAGTAGAGGGGACCTGAAGTTCTCCATTAGGTCCTCTTCTAGTGATTGACAGCAGCAGAGGGTGGGTGCAATAGCCAGCTTGCTATTGGATATTGCAAATTGAAATAGCCAATAGGAATCTAGCTAGGCATTCCTATGCTGAATTAAAAAAAATAAATTCTAACGGCAGCAGCTGTCAGAATACTAAAAAAAAGGAAGTTTTCCCCAACTTTTGAGCTGGATTCCTGAGCCACTAGGCTACAGATAACCTGGTCTTCATGTGCCAGGTGAGTCATTTTGCCTAAAAACTCAACTGGTTTGTCACACAAAAACAGAATGTTGTGTTGTAGAAGTCTAAAGTTGAACTGAACAAATGGAACTGCCTCTAAGAAGGCTACTATTAGGCCCAGGACTCTCATGCAGAGTCGTAGAGTTGGTCAGCTTTTGGACTGTAGAGTCCAAGCCTGTGAGTGAAGCATCAGAAGTTTTCTTCAGAAAGATAGGTCACCTGTAGGACTAATCGAGGCAAAATGGAATAGGAGCAATGGTGGATACTACCTCACGCTGAAAGAAAAGGGAACAGAGTGTGGAGTGCGTGGGCAGCCAGTATAAACTTCTCATGAAAACAGACAGAATGGGGGTTACTGGTGGAGCTTAACAGTTCCAGTGATGTAGTAGTTCCCAGTGCTCAGACATAATAAAGGAGATCTATAAAACATGGAGAGTGCTCTGCAGCTAACTGAACCTGTACACAGGAGCCATGAAGGTCACATTCCAGGTTTGCTTTTCTCCATCCATGGGCATGCCCTCAAAGTAAGTCTTCAAAGACTGGGTCACACCAGAGGCTGTAAATATACATGTTATCAGCACACCAGCACGACAGAAACTCATAAGTCAGTGCAAATCCATTTATTTGATAGATGCCACTCAAGGTATATCCTGAGTGGCATCTATCAAATAAATGGATTTGCACCGACTTACGAGTTTCTGTTGTGCTGGTGTGCTGATGACATCTATATTTAAAGTTGTTCTGTGTGCGATGTTATACGCTGTCATTTCGAGCACCCATCAATATTTTGGGATTGCTACAAGATTTATGACATTTACACCAGAGGCTGTGTCACATCTCTGGACCTGGAGAGTACTCTGTGGAGAACTAACAGTACATAATGGTTTGGAAAGCACAGCAAGCATAGCCACAAAGGAATCATTGATCTAGATAGCTGCATAAAGAGCTGAGTTCCGCATCATGCAGATGAAGTCTTGAAGCAAAAAAGATCTTAAGAAAAAAACAAAAATAGTTAAATTGTTTTTAATTTCATCTTGCTAGCACACTATCAAAAAACTGAAGCATGCTGGAAGTGGGAGAGGTTATATCTGACTGTCCTGCTTTTTTGTTTGGCATTGTCCAATTCCTCCTGTCCAAATGTCTCAGGATACCTAAATCCTCCAAAGCAGAAACTAAATCCTGCTGCCCATGCCACTGTGAGTATTGATGTCTTGTGTGCCCCACTGCACTTAATGGTACCCCCCCCCCCCCGCCTCACCG